AAAAGCGCACACTAGTAATGTTGTAGTGAACACAAGCAGAAGACTACAAACATTTGTAATGAAAAAAGCGCACACTACAAACTTTTGTAGTCTAAAAAAGCTCACACTAGTAATTTTGTAGTGAACACAAGCAGAAGACTACAAACATTTGTAATGAAAAAAGCGCACACTAGTATTTTTGTAGTGCACACAAGCAGAAGACTACAAACATTTGTAATGAAAAAAGCGCACACTAGTAATTTTTGTGAACACAAGCAGAAGACTACAAACATTTGTAATGAAAAAAGCGCACACTAGTAATTTTTGTGAACACAAGCAGAAGACTACAAACTTTTGTAGTCTAAAAAAGCGGAGACTACAAACTGAAGTGGCATTATGTAATGACTTTCCCAATTGGGAAATATGCGAACATCGTCATGAACAATGACAACACTAAGCTAGCCACTAACTCTTGTGGCCCAAAGAGCGTGGGAAACATCTCCCAACCTAAATGCGCACTGTGCCTGACATTAGGTGTGCCAGAAAAAAGTGTAACGCTTTTCCTGATTAGGAAATGGCCCAATTAGGAAATAGTGCGCACATCGTCGTTAACAATGACAACACTAAGCTAGCCACTAACTCTTGTGGCCGAAAGAGCGTGGGAAACATTTCCCAACCTAAATGCGCACTGTGCCTGACATCAGGTGTGGCAGAAAAAAGTGTAACGCTTTTCCTGATTAGGAAATGGCCCAATTAGGAAATAGTGCGCACATCGTCATTAACAATGACGACAGTAAGCTAGCCACTAACTCTTCTGGCCCAAAAAGCGTGAGAAACAGTTCCCAACCTAAATGCGAACTGTGCCTGACAATAGGTGTGGCAGAAAAAAGTGTAACGCTTTTCCCAATTAGGAAATGGCCCAATTAGGAAATTGTGCGCACCTCAAAGCGCACACTACAAAGTTTTCTAACTAAGCTTGTCTTTTCTAATGAAAAAAGCGGACACTACAATTTTTGTAGCCTTACTTTGGTTAAAGCTATTGGTAAATATATGTAAACAAACTTCGAAATGAGGATTTTCTGCCTTCCTCTGCATAGATTATGGTTCCTGTGATATTTTAAGCATCTATCCCATCAATCTCTTTTTCATTTAGCATAGCCACACCTTCCATATTTAGAAATTCACACTGGATCCTGAGAACAGCACCTCAAACATCAAACAACATGGTATGGGAGTGGAGTACCATGGTATGGTATAAGGGTGCAATACCATGGTATGGTATGGGGTGTTGTAAGCAAATCTCTGTATGGTATGGTATGATTCCATTCCCATGGAATGATCCCAATGGAATGATTCCATTCCATGGTATGATCCCATTCCCATGGTATGGTATGATTCCATGCTCATGGTATGATTCCATTTCCATGGTATGGTATGATTCCATGCTCATGGTATGATTCCACCCCCATGGTATGATTCCATCTCTATTGTATGATTCTGAAGACATGTGGGATAAGGAATTGGCAATCTGTTCCAAGAGCATCTCCCAAGTTGCTCCCTCATAGGTGAATGTCCATAGCATTTGTTCATATTGCTGTCAATGTCATGGACTTCTTCACCATCCCTGATTAATTGTATGAAAGACAGAATTTTGATTTAAATTAGAATAGCTATATTTAATAATGATACCTTGAAGCTTGTAATTAGAAGTCTTGGCCTGCTTGTGTTCAAATGTTCAAATCAAAATTCCCCACAATGCCAGCTCTGCTGAGTGGCAGATATGAGGAGATTCCAAATCCAAGTTTTTTGATGATCCCATTCCTATGGAATGACCCCATACTTTTTCATAAATGTCAAATTTTGAACATATTCTATCTGAAGAAGGCATCCTTGCCTTGGGTAGTAATTTGGCTAAAGTTCATGCCTTTGCAATAAATAAAGTCTTGCAAAATTCTTGTTTTCCTTCAGAGGCCATGCCATTATAATGGATACAACATTAATTTATTTGTCATGAATATAAATGGCCTTGCAAGATATACACTTTTAAGTGGCTTGTGATGGATTATCCACAGTGAAAATGGCCAAACTCTGGGATAAAGCCCAATCAAGCTAATTTTCAAGTGAATTTTCAAAGGATCAAGTTCACCCTATAGCCTCCACTTGTAGCTTAAAATGTCAGAAGAAATCTGAAGAACCAGTCCACAAAAAATGGAGCCCAATGGATCAGTATTACAGCCTGGAGAAATAATTTTCATATTTTGTAAAAAGGACCCCAGACACCCTGTGACAGCTATGGAATGATGGTATGGAATGGTATGGTATGGAATGGAATGGTATGGTATGGTATGGTATGGTATGGTATGGAATGGTATGAGGTGGAATGGTATGTGGCATCCATACCATGGTATGATGGAATTGGTATGAGGGTCATACCACTCTGGAATGGGGTACCACTAAGGTTCCCTAATTCAAAGAATTGGATAACCTCATAGGTACCCAAAAATGGGTGACTGAAGTGTCCAGACCAGTTTTCTTTGCATATAATTTATTATACCAATATAAACCATTTATATCTCGACTATTATTACTCTGAAAAATAAAGTGCTTATATAAAATAGTAAAGCATGTAAATACCTGTCATTCTACCAATTTGTAAGAGATTTAATGAGAATTTGACATAGCTATAACTGAAACCGAATTACATCTCCTAGAGACTCAGGTAAAATATGGATTTGGTTATATCTTTCTCAATTCTTAACTGTTTTGGATGAAACAAAAATCCAATAAAAGGTAATAAATGTGGTTACAAGGGCATGTAACGCACGTGACCATTTAACTGGTTGCAACTGATCAAAACCGGTCTTTGAATGGTTTTAAAAGATTTTCAAAATCAGGCAACCAGCAACTGGACCAACCCCAAATTGGGGCAACTGCAACCGAAAAAAAGACCGGACCATGGTCCAGTTCAGTTTGGTCAACCAGCTTTTTGTGGTCCTATGGACTGAACCTTTAAACACTAAGTGTAGTGACATAATAAAAAGCTCAAGGGAGTTATAAAAGTCTGATAAATTTGTGTTTCATGTCAATAAAGAAAACTGTGTTCAAGAACTTTGCATTTGAGCAACCAGGTTCCCTGAAAGACATACTTTGTTCCACTGAACTATTCTAATACCACACCCAATAATAAAACCCCATTTTAAAACAAAAACTCTTGAGAACTTAACCTAAGAAGACCAGGGCAGTTAGTAGGAATCACTCAGCTACACTGAGAGCCCTGACAATACAAACAGGCCATAGTTGATGGGGCCTGCTGATGGGCCAATGAGGGCCAATAACCCTGTGTTGATGAATTGGCTGATGTGATCCCAGTATCAAGGTGAAGAAGGGTCGGCCAGCTACATAGATTTATCATAAACCGATCAGTAGGAGGAAGCTGTGCTGGGAAGTCAAGTCCCTGTATTTGTGTATCGGCTGATAGCTAACCAATGCAAGGTCGGCTGACAGTTTTTTGGCTGATGAAAGATAGCTAAGCTATGCAAGGCCGGCTGACAGTTTTAAACATTGCTGGGTAGGTGATCGGCCGAGGGGGCAGCTAAGCCATGCAAGATTGGCTGACAGTTCTGAACATTGCTGGGTAGGTGATCGGCCGAGGGGGCAGCTAAGCCATGCAAGGTCGGCTGACAGTTTGAACAATGCTGGGTAGGTGATCGGCCGAGGGCCATCACTTCTGATTAGCAGCTAGGCTATGCAAGGTCGGCTGATATTTTGACCGTGGCCTGGGTTGGTGGTCGGCCGAGGGCCCTCGACTCTGGTTACCAGGGTCAGCTGGTCAGATGTAGATATCACAGAGTCGGCCGTGGACAAAAATGTATGAACATGGTCAGCCGAGGCTTCACCGAGGCCGGCTTCTCAGTTGGGCCTTTAAGTTAGCAGCCGAGCAGAGGCAGACCGGGCAGAACTTACCTCCATAGTTCAAATTTTCAACTTGATCCATAGTAAATATAAAAAACAAGAGCTGCGATCGCTGCAAGTGACTTCTGGGATTCAAACCCAGGGCATACATACATGACGTACACCTACCAGCGTAACCACTAAGCCAAGCCAACGTTGGAAGACAATGTCGGCCAGTATCTTTTACCTGCCTGCAATTTGAACCCAGGCGTCCAAGCTCGGCACTTGGTAAGTCACCGTTCTCGGCATACGACAACACATTGGTGAAGTACTTTGGCTGGTGCCGAGGCCGGGTGGAAAATAACCGAGCAGACAAGTGAATTAAATTGGCAAAAGTGCCCGGGCTGCGTCTCAGGTAATAGAGCCGATTTAATATTAAATTGGTGAAGTACTTTAAGTGGTGCTGAGGCCGAGTGGAAAATAACCAAGCAGACAAGTGAATTAATTCAGCAAAAGTGCCCGGGCTGCGTCTCGGATAATAGAGCCGATTTACTATTAAATTGTTGAAGTACTTTGGCTGGTGCCAAGGCCAGGTGGAATATAACCGAGCAGACAAGTGAATTAAATCAGTAAGAGTGGCCAGGCTGCATCTCGGATAATAGAGCTGATTTAATATTAAATTGGTGAAGTACTTTAGCTGGTGCCGAGGCCGGGTGGAAAATAACCGAGCAGACAAGTGAATTAAATTGGTAAGTACTTTGGCTGGGTGGAAGACAACCGAGCAGACAAGTGAATTAAATCAGTAAAAGCGCCCAGGCTGCATGTCGGATAATAGAGCTGATTTGATATTAAATTGGTGAAGTACTTTGGCTGGTGCCGAGGCCAGGTGAAGAATAACCAAGCAGACAAGTGAATTAAATCGTTAAAAGTGCCCAGGCTGCACATCGGATAATAGAGCCAATTTAATATTGAATTGTTGAGGTACCTTGGCTGGTGCTGAGGCTGGGTGGAAAATAACCAAGCAGACAGGTGAATTAAATTGGTAAAAATGCCTGGGCTGCACATCGGGTGACAGATATTAAATTGTTGTACTTTGGCTGGTCCGAGGCCGTGTAAAAAATAACATAGCAGAGAAGTGAACTGAATCGGGTATGGGTTGCATCTCGGATAATAGAGTCAATCTAACATTAAATTGTTGAAGTACCTTAGCTGGTGCCATGTCTCGGTGCGAAGTCATCAGTCAAAATGCCCAGGCTGCTGCTTGTGATTAGATATCAAATTGCTATGCCATGTCTGGATGCAAAATAACCAAGAAAATGGGTGAATTGAATCGGTAAAAATAACTGAGCTGCATCTCGGGTGATACAGCCGATTTAATATTGATTTGTTGCAGTCCTTTAGCTGGTGCCATGGCTGGGTGCAAAATGACTAAGCAGACAAGTGAATTAAATTGGTAGAAATGCCCGGGTTGCACATCGGATAATAGAACCGATTTGATATTCAATTGGTGAAGTCCTTCAGCTAATGCCATGTCCGGCTGCAAAGTTGCAAGTGAATGGATTCTCCCGCCATCCCACCATCCCACCATCCTATCATCCTGCCATCCCGCCATCCCACCATCCCACCATCCCGCCATCCCGCCATCCCGCCATCCCGCCATCCCGCCATCCCGCCATTCCATCATCCTACCATCCTACCATCCTTCCATCCTTCCATCCTTCCATCCTGCCCTCCTGTCATCAGCATTATATCTTGACCATTACTGGGCCACTTCTCTCCAAAAACCCTGCTAATTATATCTTGATGTAGTCTATGACATACTCAAAACAAGAACGTATAGTAGTGTAGTTGACATGCATCTCCCACAATGTTCCCCATGGTATGTATACCTTTACTGTAGTCTCCCCAAAGCAGAAAGAATACAGTGTATATTATATATGCTTAATTTGTGGTAGCTCAGAATAGCCATTTGGGGTTCTGAGTATCTGTATTGCACAANATGCCCAGAAGACATATAAATCCC